TGTTGATCTTAAACTTATGGAATTCATTTGTCAAAGGCTAAATTGAATTGCTATATGTGCAAAGATTGTGGTCATAAAAGCATGTTTGGCAGAGATTACATGCAAACTAGATACATCCTTTAGGTTCTTGGTAAGTTACTAATGTAACAAAAGTTTGGATTCCCCAGCATTAATTAAAGAAAAGATTGAGCCCTTTTCACTCTTGTGAAATCTGAGTGTTTGCATAGTGCCCTAGCACATCAGTATATGGAGAGATTAAGGAAACCATTTTGAATTTATGTCCTGTTTTAAGTTTCAGATACTACCGAGGAGGCTCTGGGTTCAGTCATAGGTGAAGAAACTGAGGGCCAACCATCCTCATCCGGGTTAAATACACAGAACCGAAGTGGAAATAACATTGATCCGGGGAAAAATAGACTAGTCAGGAGTAAATCCACACCAGTTAAACAAGGTCAGAAGTTATATGCTTCCTTTGGATGACTAGTTTTACTAGAAAAGAAATCTGCTTCTGGTATCTATGGACTGCACTGAAAGCTGTGGTATAAACCTCCAGTGCCCCAGTGTGCTTCTTGATCTCCGTATGGCTGAAAACCAGACATCCCTGCCCTTCTTCTTTCCCGGGGACACCTCCTTTCATCACCCACTCACTCTCTTTTCTTTTCCCTTACCTCCCCCCGGAAACTGGTGTGATTGAGCCAGATGGTGATGATTCATGAGATTTAGAACAGCATGATCCGTGTAAAAGAAAGGCAAGTTTTGGCTGTACAAACAAGAATGTCTTACTAAAATATGGCAGCATATGTAATTCTGCTATAAAATGCAGCAACCCATTTGCCAGTCTGCCACTAACTACCCAGCCCATTTTCCATAGTCCTTATCATCTTGTTTCTGTTTTAGAAGCTTTAAATTTGGGGCACATTTCATGGTGTCTGGCATATTATGCACACTACTTGTTTTATTCAAATTTAGGGGTGGTTAGGTGTCTAAATAGCTCTTTGAAGAGCTGCAAAGTGATTTTTGGCTATGAGAGAAAGTATCGTATGTTGAACTTACTTATTCTAATGAGAATTTTTAAAATATCTAAGAATATGCTTTGGATAGAAATGTATTAAGCCACACTCTTGATAACTCACAAAAAAGTAGCCTTGCCCTACTTCCCAAGGGTGATGGTTGGGGATAGTAACTGGTATTGAGCGTGAATGCTGGGGTGGGGGGCACTAGAATTTTGGGGAGAGCGAGGAGTGTCATTGAGAGGCTCTGGCGGTGTGGAAAGAGCAGTGACTGGCATTGAGGAGGTGCTGGGTGGGGGGGGACTAAATGGAATTGAAGCATCATGCTATGGTTGGGACATTAAGTGGCAGAAAGGGGGTGGTGGAATTTGAGGACCACTAACTGGCAGCGGCGATGTGGGGGTGCTGTATATGTGTGTGATGGGGAGAAGTGGTAAGGGGCAGTTAGGGGACATGCTGTTTGTATGGGGAAGAAGCAGTAATGGACACCAGTGGTGGTTCGCTCTGTGTGTGTATGGGGGAGGGGAGGGAATACACTGCAGGGGTGGTGGTCCCCAGAGCAAGGGGTTAGGGTGGGGAAATCAGGACACAGGAGGATGGATGGGGGCAGACAGGAATTAGTGATGTAAAAGGTTCATCAGTTAGCATCACCCTTAACAGTTAACTGGTGGGAGCTGGATCTGCTCCCTCTCCTGCTGAGGGCAAGGGGATGCTCCAGCCTTGTGGGGGCCTGCCATAGACAGGGACAGCTCCAGCCCATGGCAGGGCATGGTGCCTCACAGGCAGTGGCTGTTTTGGCATCCAGAGCAGCCCCTGTCTGTGGTGGGCCTGGGTCCCCTGTGGGCAGGGGGTGCTCTGGCTGGGCTACAGCCAGCCAGTGGGAGGAGGGAGGGAGAGTAGCTCAACCACCCAGCCTGTGCCCGGTTCCCCCTTTAATCTGTTAACCAGTTAAACATAATGTTTAACCAGTTAACCAATTAAGCAGGATTTTACATCCATAGCAGGAACTCCCTTTCAGTGGTGCCAGTACTGCTTCTCCCCCAAAGAAGCTGGGTCTGGGAGCTGGCCAGTTCTCCCCATTAGCAGCTGTTACTCTTCCCACACGCTTGGTAGGGAGGCTGATTATGGTTACTCTGGTAATTGGACTTTTAGGGTACGTCTAGACTGGGATACCATAGGTATTCTGAAATAGCTATTCTGCATCTTTTGAATCAGCCTGTTATTGAAATAGATTTCAGAATAGCAGTTTATTTCAAAATTTGGTGCTGTGTGGACAGCGCCAAAATTCAAAATAAGCTATTTTAAAATTAGATCAAAACATGATATACAATTTGAACTATGTAAATTACATATCTTATTTCGACCTATGGGTGCAGTGAAGATGCACCCTATAGTGTCCAGTCGATTGGACAGGTCCCCCTTTTGACCAGGATTTCTTATAGAAAACTGGACATGTGGCAATGCTAATGTGGACCCTGCTGCCATGTACTAAAACAGTTACCTAGTGGGCTTCCATACTGCTGTTTCAAACACCTGTGATCTCTCCACTTGAGTGCATTATTAAATTAAGGTTATTCCCTTGCTCTGTCATGTTTCCAGACATATTTTCTACAATTCTGAAATCTGTTACCTGAACAGTGGATAAATATTCTCCAGAGATTCAACCAATGCCTTTAACTTGATAATTCTCATAGAAAATTAAAGGTTTCCCAAAAGCTTTTACAAAATAGCTGTTATTTCATGTGGCATAGTAAAACTGAAGAGGGAAAATATTTTAATAATTTAACAGAAATGTCCTAACTCATGGCTATTTTTACCTGGGGTTACACCATGGTTAGAATTTATACAAAGCTATGGGTGGAACAGGCATAAATGTTTCACTCTTGTGAAATTGTCAAAAGATGTTCACACCTTTGTCAACATGTGAGTATTTTTGTACATAAAATTGTGGTCATGTTAAAGTGCACAAAAACATGTTGGTTGTTATGGGATAAGCCTTCACTTTTCCAGGATGAATGTGCTTTTCTACCTCCATGAGCAGCATATGGTAACTGTGAAAGGAGTAACATTTTCAGCCTCAACACAGCAAAGCACTAAAACATGTACTGAGCTTTCAAGTACTTTATAATTCCATTGATTTCAGTTGGACTAATCAATTGCTAAATATTATGTATGTATTAAAATGCTGATTGGGGCTTTTAAGTATGTACAGTATTAAATACTGTTAGAGAACAGGTGTTCAATGAGGCTGATAGCATAAGCTATTTGAGGGAAATGTAAATTTTAATAGAAAATCCTTTTGATATTTGAAAAAAAAATTCCTTTGAACTTTTGCAGTTCAGATTTAACAAGTGATTGTTTTTTGTGTTTGTTTAGATCAATCTCTTGATGGACCACTTACAAATGGTGATGGCAGAGAGCCTCGGGTAGCAGTCAAGAGAAAGTTAGTAAGTGCCTCAGAAGAGGAGGAACACCTACAGGAAGAGGTGAAGAAGAGAGAATCAAAAGAAAACCCTGGTTTATTGTCATCAGAGAGTGGGGAGTCAGGATCCAGTTCAAGTTCTGAAAGCCGATGTGGGTCTGATTCAGATTCTGAATCAACCTCTAGAACAGATCAGGATTACATTGATGGAGATCATGACTACAGTAAAGTTGTGCAGACTAAACCCAAAAGAAAAATTAAAAGGAAAATTGCTAGTGGAAAAAGAAATTGGCAGGGTAGAGGGACAGGGAGGAGAGGCAGATGGGGCAGATGGGGTAGATGGAGCAGAGGGGGAAGAGGTGGCAGAGGAGGAAGAGGAGGCTGCGGCAGAGGAAGAGGCAGGGGAGGAAGAAGAGGTAGAGGAGGTAGAGGAGCTTCACGAGGAGCAACCAGAGCCAAACGTGCACGAATGGCAGATGATGAATTTGAGAATCTATTTGGAGGTCGATTTGGCGAGAATATGTTTGGAGGACGATTCAGTAGGCCACCACGAATTAAAACAAGGAACGAGGGCAGGAGAACTGTTTTATATAATGACGATTCAGATAACGACAACTTTGTGCACGCTGAGGATCCTCTGAACCTTGGTACTTCCAGATCGGGCAGAGTGCGGAAAATGACAGAAAAAGCCAGGGTCAGCCATCTCATGGGATGGAATTATTGACTGATGAAAATCTTGGAAAATTTTCAGATGAACTTCAATGGCCTTCTACTGCAGGGATTTTACCAGAAAATCTACCAAGCAAGTTGTGGGGGGACTCCACTCACTTTCTACAGTGGTGCTTTTCCATTATGCCAGTATACATTTGTTTTAAGACTTCAGATTGCCACACTTCATTGGTCAAAAAAGCCTTACTCATTAGGCCTTAAATTACAGAAATTCTTCCCCACACACTACAAGTTCATTTTGTTTCAAGGAGCTTCTCAATAATAGCATGACATTTTGAATCATGTTCATGAAATCTCTCCCTTTTTTGTATTATAGAAATAGCACCTTCTTACAGAGTTTTTATATGGTTTGTCATAAATCCTTATACACAGTAATAATTGTAACTTTTGCACAATACACCAATCCTAAAGGCAGCTATAAAATGTTTACCATTTCTATATTGTAAGAAGGATCTGGATTACTTTAATCTTCCCAGGCCAAACTTTCATGAATTGTGCTGAACTGAAGTATGTTTATACTACAGTTTAGGGGGTCTTGAAATGCTTTTTTGTTGGTTCGTAATTCACATGTAAAAAGTGAAAAGGGTTGGTGCCTTGTAAATATGTAGCAAACCTTTGATGTGGTGTGTCCTAATGTGTGCATTAACTTTATTAAAAAGATAATACTTGAGAAGTATGAATATCTAGACAGAAGGTGCCAAATGCAAAAGTTACTTGCATCTATTTTCTTTTTGTCCTCTCATATTTTTATAGCATTAATGGAGATTGTGCAGCAAAGGGTTAATTTCAACATTTGAAAGGTTCCTACTCTTTAGAGCATTATATGTCTTAATAGTAGCTCAGCTACCTCTGTTTACAACTACTGGAAACTTAAAAGAAAATAGATGCTATTCTGCAGTGCTTATTGAAGAAGAGGCAAGAATGAGTATAGCAGGGGTGGAATTGCTTGAAAATTCAAGTAACCATTTCTTCATATTGACACTCTGAAACAAACCTTAGTAGTTAATGAAGTTTTCACAACCTTAATATGCTTTTAGTATCTGGTAATTTGTTGGGCAAACAGCCAGTGGGCTCTCTCTTATTTCTGTTACCATTTATGCAATGAAAGTGTGTATTTGTGTTTTTAATTTGATCATTGAAACATTCAAAGAAACCGAAATTGAGCTATGGTGTGTCTATTGGCTACTCATATTTTGTATCATTACTGATAAGTTTCCATTCATATCATTGACAAGAGTCCTTGTAGCTTAAGCATCCAGAAGATAATTTACATTGTACTATACTCTTACCTTTTAAATGTTGCATTGAAAAATAATAACTTGCACACTGAGGTCATTCTGACAATAATACAGTATGCAATGCTGTGAGGGAAATGTGGGGTTTTGCTCCTCAGATTGAATGACTGGTTGTGTTCTATTAACTGGAACACACTTCTTCTTTTGGAGTGAAATGAAGAGTTGCATCCTTCTGCTTTGTAGGATCCAGCTAAAAGATTTGTGGGAGCCTGTAATATTAGACCAAGGAAGAGGCACAGAGCTGATTTCTCTAGATTTTCTCCACATGTAATCAATGACAATGATGAGATAGGAGATTTGGAAACCAAAATAGGGGCATGACATTCTAAATTTCTTCCTCAATGTGCAATATGCAACTTTTATTACATGGTCAATAATTCTGGGAAATGTTTGGGGGAGGATCAATGACATTATATATTCTCATACGTCAATGGAGGTTGATCTCTTTTTGCAATGGTTGTAGTCTGGTGCAAGATAACATGAACCAATGCTGTATGGGTCATTGGGCTTGGGAGTGAGGAGAAGAAAACATTCTAAGTAGTATATGGTATTGATCTGAATTCATGGTACAGTAAAGATCTCACAAACTTTTTGTTAAAGTCACTCTTTTGATAATGCCAAAACTAATGTCTGGGCATGACTCAGATGTTCCTTTTAACAAAGAATAGATGCGAGTATCTCCTAGCTCTGTACTGGGTTTTAAAATACAAATGCTTGTCCTATTATCTCTTACAGTATATATTCAGAAGAAAATGTATTCTTCCCTAGAGTTATTGGTCTTCATATCTATGTAACCAGGAAACGCATGGATATGCCAGGTCCTAGACATAATCATACACATTTTAGATAAAAGTTCTTTTCAACCAATATAAATACTAGGATTCCTATGCTAAAGTCTGGAGATTCTGAAGAAATACTATTCATATGTTTCTGGCTGGCTGAAGCTGTAATTATTAATTTATTTGGGGATGGGAGGAAGGAAAAACATGGATTCCTGAAAATATCATGATTTCCTAAGTTTAAATGTATTTTAGCAACAATTAGAATAAGATTAAATATGTTCTTTAATGTATCTTTTATATGTAATGAAATACTGTGAAGATAACAGTAAAACAGCACTGTGCTGTGGTGTAAGTATTAATCTAAAATGTGTTATGTGATTAAGAACAAGACAGCAGGGTGTGCTAGAACAACAGAGCTATAGCTTATTGTAAAGAATCTGAGGATTTTTTAAATTTTATTTTATTTCATGCATGAAAAACTTTTTATAACCATGAACGAAATAACTTATATTTTTGAATGCTATTTTTACTTGGTTTTGTATCTGGATTTTTTTCCATTTTAGACATTTGATTTCTCTCATAGTCTCATTCTGTGGGTGAATTATAATTTTGTAATAAATTGGACACTTTTTACTCAGATTTTAAATTCGATTAGAAGCCACTTACTTAAAGCTGCATGACACTTGGTTTTACCCTGATAGATGCAGCAGGAGAAATGAAACAAGAAATGAAAATGCAAAAAAAGTATTGCAACCCAGTCCTTCAGACCCCTAATCCCAAACTCCAATGCCCATGTAATGCCTCTCTCAAGTCAGCGGAGTTCCATGTAAGCAGAGCTCTGCCCACCCAGAGTTAATTGCAGAAACATCAGCCTTGTCTTTATTCATAGTTTTAGCTAAAAATAACTTCTGTTTGGGCCCACTCTTTAATTCTTGTGTATGATGGTGTTGTGATAATATATTTAAGATACTAATAGTTAATGGGCTGTATATTGCTGATATTTAGTAAATGTTCTAGTACCAGCGCTTCAAGGATTTCTCCAGAAATTAGTATGAATGTTTATGGAAGTTTTGAATTGTCCCTCTCCCTTTTGTCAGCAGTTTGAGGGTATCCCATTACCAGTGTGGGGAAACAGGGACTGCAAATAGAGCCACCAGCCAGCAGTTATATTTGATTTGCGGTTGTTGGAAGGTTCTTTTGGCCTGCACCATCCACACACATTTAAGAGGAGAGGGAAGAACGTTTTCAATGTGTGTCTGGTTCCTTTGCATTTTGAGCACCAATTTACTACCTCTCCAGCATGCTCATCTCTGCTGGCACAGAGCACATGGGCCCAAGCTTGGTCCTGAACACTCAAATGCTGTCACTAGGCCTTCAGTCAAGCCCCAGACATCCATTTTGCCTCCCCTTATTTTACAAGTGTCTGCTCCAGCCCCTTGTATTTTGTGGCTTTGTTCCATCTCTTGTTTCCTTCTGGTCTTTGTCCTTTCCTAAGATCCTGTCTGTGCTGCTGCTCCTGCACTCTATAGTATTTTTCCCATTCAGGAACAACTGAAGCTTAAACTCTGATGCTCTTGCTAGTCAATTAAGAACACATTAGGTTCTTACCTGCCTACCTAAAGTCACTTGCAGGTATATTCAAGTCAAGTTTTTTTTCTCTTTAAATATTTTGCTTATTAACAAACCTGCATGTGTTAGTAGTAAATGTAGAAAGTTCTTAGGCCTAATTATCCATTGTCCTGCACTTTAGTGTTTACACTGGTATAAATTAAGCCTAATTAGAGCAAGTACTGTTCGCACTCTCTCTGAGGTAAAAGTACAGGGCAAAAGAGAACTGGATGTTACTAGTTCTGATCATTTGAATTAAAAATGTAGGTCTCACTTGACCTCCCATATAAATTATTTAATGCTATTATCTGAATTATCACATTTTCGTTATGTGAACATGAGTTATTGTAACAACTCTACAGCTTGTGTTTACTTTCCACTGTCTGAGATAGTGGGATTGGCATAAAATGTTGTCAGCAATTTGGAATATTCAGTTACAGCTCAGCATCCCAAACACCAATCAGCATGGTATATTTTGAAGGTTTAGGTTATCTTTCTGTTTAGTTTGAGGGATGGAAAAGATATTAATACGCAAAAACTAAACCCTTTACATGAAGCATTCTGAAACACTTCAGCTATTATCAGCATCAGGCAATTAATCTAAAAAGTGTTTTCTCCACTGTCTTCAGTGTATGTTTGGTTTTGGAAAGGGAGAAAGTCTGAGATTTGAGTAAATTAGATTTTCGTGAGATTTTTCAGTTCCAAGCAACCTATACTACTTTATTCAGATTCTTAAACAACATGCATCATTGTAGTGTCTCGATTTCTCACTCCTTCTTTTTTGTTTGTTTTGTGTCAGTGGGAAGAGGTGTCATGCCTCTTTACCTGTTGTCGCACTTAACAAAGCATGAGGTGTTCTCATGCTTCCAATGAAGTATCCCTCTTCAGTCTCAATATTACTTCCATGCTAGGGTCATGATTATCCCCACTTGTACTCTTTAAAAAATGCAGCAATATCCTGAACAACTTCACTCAATAGATGTTCAGGATTAAGGGCTCAAATCTGCAAAAACTTATTCAAGAAAAAAAAATGGGATTTCTTATGCAAGTAAAATTGCTCATAGCTGCAGTCTGTGCAGGCTTGAACCCTACAGAAGCAAGAGCTCACTAGGACAAAAGTGAAATGTATTAACTGAATAGTATGGGGAAGTTAGCTCAGACTTATGTGTATGTATATTGGGCTCAAGTCTGCAATAATCCTTCACTTTCAAGCCTACTAATTTCACAAACTGTAAAGCAAAGATTAAAAAGGATAGAGATGATGGTATGTTTTCTTAAAAGAGAAATATTAGAGAAGTAATTCACCTTAGAAGCAAGCTCTGTTGGAAAATTATCCCTCATGTTTATAATATGAGAACTGTAATATGTAAAAGTAAGAGGAGGCAAAAATATTTACAGTTAGGAAATCAACATGTGTGTGTGATTACAGCTTGAGTTCTTTATATTTTTGTTTATTTTAATCAACTTCCCTTGCAGTTTTTAAAAAATAAAGATAGATCAAGTTACTTCTACTGCACATAAATATGAAAACTGTATAGTATATAAAGCACTGAAGGGAATTTAAGTTAGGTGTGTGGTTGGTAAAATATCCATATATAGAAATTAAAAATTAAGGAAAGACAAACTAAAATGTATTGCTTCTGACAATGTTCTTGAGGAGGTGACTGCTAAAAGTGAGATGAACTTCTCACATATTGGAAAATATGGCCCCTAGATGGCTATAGAATGTGTTTGATGAACATTCCAAATCATGCAGTATTAAAATGAGAAAATGCATTTAATAACTCTCTCAAGACTAGTAATTCACCCTTAACCTGTGCAGATGATGACAGAATAAACAAATCAGTTTTAGACTAAGGATGTTGCCAGCCTTAACTTAGTATGTCCTACTATGGTTGGTCTATATCACAACTTTAATATTTTTAAAATGTATTTTTGTGTTTACATTTCTTGGATTTTTTTTAACTGTCGTGGAAAGTTTTATAAAATGCTAATTATTTACTTGATAGACCGAAGGAGCAGTTAACAATCTACAGATAAATTTATATTTAGTAATGTAGGAAGCTGTCATGTTCTTACAAGTATGTATTATAGAAAATTACTGCGCATGTGCAGTAGTTAACTTTCAAATATTAGTATATTGGATGTTTACACATTTTTTTAAAACTCCTTTATGTACAATAAGTAATAGCCTGCAAAATTTTGGTCTAAAAAGTTGTCTTTTTTTAATAATAGAAACACAAAGACCTGTTGGCATCTTGTACGTTTTTACTATGTTATGTTTCAGCCCACAGCAAATTTCTGCAACTGTGCTATGAATCCCTGAAAAACTAAATTTCCAGTGGAATTGTTATCACAGCCTTAACTCTAGTATGAAAATGGTGCTTAAATACATATATATATATATATATATGCATGGAAGTGGGTACCTCAGATCTGATAAGAGTTTTAAATGAGAACTTAATTCTCAGTGTTTGATGCTGAAAATGCAAACTAATATTCCTGTTAGTTAACAACAGCCATGTTTGTGAATTCATTGTACAATATTTACTTACGGACATATTAGAACAATTTCCCAGTTTCTTCTAATAAGAAGGTAATGCATACCTTTCTGGTTTCTGTGTACATTAAACATTTGTGAAGCTAAGGGCAGGGCAAGAGAAAAGTGCTTGAAATGTTAGGGAACAAGAGGATCTGTTTGAATGCAAGATAAATTGGTGTTTCTGTGCTGTTATGTTACCAATCTCATAGTGGTTTTATAGTTTTCTTTTGTCAGACAAATGCCCCATTTAGTTTTTTCACAATGCTTTCTAAGTAAGTGGCGTTCATTGAACATACGCATATACCTAAGCCTAATTTTTAAAATTTTCCCTAGGAATATTGATATAGATTATTCATTCTTTTTGTAAGAGTCATTACAACAGACTTCATTTAGTAATATCAGTTTTTACAGTTGATGGGCTTGGAACAATGAAATGGTGCTGTTTCTAGCCTTGCACATTTCGGTGTTCTTGACAGTTTAAAATGTTCCACCAAAAATGCACAAAACTGATTTGAACTGATATGTCAAGTTTCTGTATTGATTTTTCAAGGGGATATTTATGCCCATATCGTCACATCCACTATCTCAGGTCCCTTTAAATGAATACTTCAGGGATTTTTAATGCCACTTGATGGCAGACCAAATGTAATATTTATATGCAACAAGCTGTTAGTTTTTGTATTGTAAAAATGTAAATTTGTAAAGATTTTTTTTCTAGAGTTTTTTTGAAGTCACTTATGTAATTTAGGATGTTTCATTTTTCCAGCTGTGGGATTGTCTTAATAAAAAACATAAATCTTACTTTGATTTTGCATTACTTATTAAGCAGTTTTGACAGTATAAAGACAAGTGAACTAGTTAGAGCTTTAAGCATACTGAAAATTCACATTTTGATTTAGCTCTGGATAATTCTGCACTGAAGTTGGAGAAAATTATTCTTTATATACTATAGTAATCATTGGAATATCAATTGATGGGAAGCTCTCACATTCCTTATTTAAGATCTTAGGGCTGTGGAGAATAAGCTGGGATAGGGGAAAGGAAAACAAAACTAGTTCCTGCTCATGGAGTGTCTGTTAAGTTTTGTCAGCATGAAGGGAGCAGACCATGGCACTAAAATGAGAGAATACCATGGAAATCCATGCTTCCTTACAGCATTTTCTGCCCAGATATTAATGGTAACTGCTTCCTCCAAGACATCACCGTGGACATTTTCCACTGCGGCCGATCTGGTACTGACCTCTGTCATTAGCTTACAACTGTAACCAGCATTTTTCCCTCATTTAGGAGTGGGGAGTAATGCTGATCAGTTTTTTCCCTGTAGAGCACTTCCTTATTGGCATCCCTTAGGTCAGCGAGAGAAGGAACAATCCTGTGGAGCTGACCGAGGTCAGAAACATTAGTTCTGGGTCTCCTCATTTATAGGAATGGAAGGGATAATGTAGCATTTATAATAATTTTCGATAATTGCTCAGGATGAAATCTGCTGTGTAAAGCTTGAGTCATTTGGCTTCCTTTGCAGAAGAATGAAAGGACTTATGGAAATTAAATTCACCTGTATCTACAAAGCAGTTGAAGTAGGTCAGAAGGCTGCATTATAGACCACATGTGGGACAGTTATTACAATCTCAGAGAGCAGCCACACACCTTGGCACACTTATGCAATGTGTTGGGGGCCACAGAATTCTTCCTATTAGAACTGACAAACTCCCAGTCACTGTCACTGCCAACTTCTGTGCCAAGTTATGGCAGTCAGAACTGGGACTCCCTTCTGTAAATGGAAGAGGAGGGGTGAAAGACAGGGCACCCAACATCCGCACCCACTGCTACAGCCACAGCGAGGTGTTACATGAGGGTAGTTTTGTGTTGGCTGTTGGCCCAAGGGTGAATTTCACTTTTAAAAATTGTGTGTAACCCCGTCTTTCCTCCCTGGGTTACTTGGGAGCAGGCTACACTCACCTGGGTGCCTGATGTTTTTAACATAAAAGGAGATCCTGAGTACCCCAGTGGTGATGTTGGATAGTGGGGATCCCCTATCCACTCCCTTGCTGCAGTCCTTTTTGTCTAAAGGAATATACAATGGTGGTGCCTCCACCTGGTTGGTCCCTATACACACTTAATTGTATGCTTGGGAGTCTCCAGGATTAAATTTATTCCAGTAATAATCTGGCTCTAACTCCAAAACAACAATTATAAATAGTACATATCTAAACTGATTACATTAAAATTAACACACCTTAATTTAAAGAAACAGGATTTAACTGACTAAAAGTGAATACAAAGAATTAGCAAGGTGCACAGGAAACTTATCAAACTGGCATTTACACTGCTACCGTTTATCCCACCTCAGAGTGTGTCCTCCTCTGGATCTGAGTCCCAGACGCTTGTGTGGGTGCGCTTGAAGGTAAGCAGCTGGAGTGGAAACAGCACTGTGCACAGGTTCGGTGTGTGTCTGTTCAAGCTAAGCCAGCCAGTCCAGGCAAGGCAGTCCAGCAGCTCTGGTTCACTGAGGCAGTTCACTCTGGCTCTCTGGCCCCAGAGTCAGTCTGTTTTCTGCACTCTGTCCCATGAAGCACTGTCCCAACAGTCACAAGTACTCACAGTATCTTCTATGCAGGGTTATGCAGGCCTTTCTTAGCCACAGGCACAGTCAAAGTCTCTCCCTTCCAGGGACAAATACACCCACAGCCCCTGAAGCAGCCTGAAAGATCCAAGCCCCAGCAAGCTCTCAGCAGCAGACTCTAGCTTCCAACAGCAGCTCCTGGCCTGGAAAAGGCTCCACAATCTGGCTCCTCTCTCCAAAATGGAGCCCTTCCTAACTCTCTGCCCTGCCTGGAAGACAGCAACAACTTTTCCCTCCTTTTTCCCCAGGGTTCATGGGAGTTGTAGTCTCTAGGGCTAGATTGCGGCGCAAAAGATCCTCCCAGTAAAAGTCAGGGGACTACATTTGTTATTTTGAGGAACAAGTGAGCAGGGCCCTGACAGTGGGTTTAGTTTGCTCAAGTGCTTTAGGAGGAAGATTTTTAGTATTGTACCAGTTATTATTTAAAGCAACATTTTTTAAAACTGTCTAGTTAGCAAAGCACATTAGGAGGGTAAAACCCATTCTAAAGGAAATGCTGGTGGACTCCATTTGGCTCTTCCAGCTAGTCTTGGATGTCTCCAATATTATCTGGCACTTCGCAGCCCTTCTCCAAGAAGACTGGGAAAAGCAGATGCTGTCCTCATTCTTAGTCTCTCACCAGTTTTTGTTACAGGATTTGTGTAAATTTCATGTAAAGTTCTTATCTGCCTTCTAAGCATCCCCCAGAAATATCTGGCTCTGACCTCCCAACTGTTTTGCCCTATTCATGAAAATGCTTACCTGTGGTTCTCTTGCTCACATGGGAGTGATGGAATTTCAAAACTAGATTGTAAAGGCTATTCTCTTTGACTCTGCAGGAATTGTATAGGTGTTTGGAGTCAGAGGTCCAGACTAAACAAGTTAACTTTAGAGCACTAACATCTATCTAGCTTGCTATAGTGCAGTGTTTCTCAAAGTGGTCCGTGAAAGCACTTTGAGAGACATGTTAACAAGCTGCGTCGGTTTGTTTCCCATAGCTCCCCTTGGCTGCAAATGGTGAACCGGAGCCAACAGGCGTCACGAGGCTCCGTGGTGCAGCTCTGGTAAGTAAACAGGCACGGACAGTTAGCACGTTTCTCAAAGAGGTTTCACGGACCACTTTGAGAAACACTGCGGTATATTTTTATGGTGATGAAGGACCATGGACCCAAAATGAGGAATGAGCAGGTGGCATTCTGTCCCGAAAGGGAAAAGGAAAATTGGGAACACGATTTCTGGAGTGACAGGAAGAGTTGTGGGATGGGGTAACCTACACGCACAGGAATGAAAGGGGTTAAGGCAGGGGTTTACAAGCTTTGAGCAATGGCTCATTAGGATAAGCTGCTGACAGGGCCATGAGATGCTTTGTTTACCCGAGGTTCAAAAGGGGATAGCCCAGAACTGCTGAATGGAGCGTCCTGGACTGGAACCAGGAGTAGAGGGCGGGTCTGGGTTCTTCCACCAGCCACTGAGGGAGTGGCATGGAGGCAGTGGAAGGAAGACTTCCTGGAACTTCTAGTAAGAAAGGGATTTGCTACCCTGGAAGGGAGAAACACTGACTCATAGGGTATGTCTAGACTACATGGCTCCTTTCGACGGAGCCATGTAGATTTGTTTGTTTGGCAAAGGGAAATGAAGCCATGATTTAAATAATCGTGGCTTCATTTAAATTTAAATGGCTGCCCCACTCTGCTGATCAGCTGTTTGTCGGCAGATTGGGGCAGTCTGGACGCTCCCCTGCCAACATGAAAGCCCTTTATCGACCTCCCCGGTAAACCTCATCCTACGAGGCATGCACATCATCACTCTTTTTCAGCCCCAGAAATTGCAGTGTTCCTTTTTTGTGGCTCAGTGCTCTGGCTGAATCACTGAGGCTGGTCTATACTAGAACTTTATTTTGAAATACCTTCCCTCCACACCCTCTCCAGTCAAATTTGGATTCAAACTCCTGAGGTCTCTTCAACCCTAGGATTCTATGGGTGTGTCTAAACTACATGACTCCATCGATGGAGTCATGTAGTTTAGACACACCCATAGAATCCTAGGGTTGAAGAGACCTCAGGAGTTTGAATCCAAATTTGACTGGAGAGGGTGTGGAGGGAAGGTATTTCAAAATAAAGTTCTAGTATAGACCAGCCTCAGTGATTCAGCCAGAGCACTGAGCCACAAAAAAGGAACACTGCAATTTCTGGGGCTGAAAAAGAGTGATGATGTGCAAACTACAGATGGGGGCACCAACCTGAAGAGCTAATTGCTGGAGTGGCCAGGAGGTGCCAGATCAGCAGTGAGTGGTGTACCCCATGACAGGGATGAAGAATAAGGTTTGGGTGGAGGAGCGGCAGGAACTTTATAAGAGAGAAGTGATTTGATTGGAAAAAAGCATGGAATGAGTGAAAGGAAAATAACAAATCCCTTAATTTGTTTGTTTGGACTTTGGCAAATCAGAGAGTAAGAAAGGGAATGGAAGAAAGAAGGGATGAAAATATTATTGTCAGTATAAAGGAAAATAAATGAATGATGGAATGAAACTGAAACTAAAACGGGAAAAGGTCAGAGAATCCCAATAGCATATTGTAAGTTTGTTTTTCCCACCTTCCTTTTTATAAAAAGATGAAGGAAAATCTATGGAGGAAAAGATTAAAAAGAGAAGAGATGACTCTTGCAAGTTTTGAGCAATTTAGTTATTTTGATTATTATAATTTACTAAATTAGGTGCCAATTTATGCACTTGGAATAAGGTGATCATACATTTTCTAGAGACTTTTTTCACATGGTCACATGAGGAACGTCCTTTTTGGACTCCAAAGTGTCCTCTTATCATACAGAAAATACAAGTATTTCTCACTGTGAACATACAGTATTATGGTGAACCCTGAACATAGGGCAATGGGGTGTTTCCATAATTTTTTCCCAGGGTTTTAGCACAATAAATTCTATTGTGCAGTATAATTGCACATAATTGCAGCTTGTATTTCAAAGAGATCATAATGATGCCTGTTATTAAGTTATCGTATAATAGCCTCCCTTTGTTGCTACTGTAAAGAGTTGGCAACAAATTATATGCACAACCCTGAGTAGCATTCCAAGAGGATTATAAGCTTTTGATTATATGCTTGTAAAAGTCAGCAAGAAAAGTTAGATGCACTTTACATTCCCCACTGGTTCTCTCCAGGAAAAGATT